CCCCAAAACCCCAAAACCCCAAAACCCCAAAACCCCAATAGGTTATTACCCTATTGAAGTTATATAAGAAATAAGACAAAGTTAATAATAATAAATTAGTCAAATGAATAAAAACAACTTGTTAAGAGTCCAACCCCAGGACTGTGATATCCCAGAATATGTATCAGATGAGCATCATTCTGCAAAGGATTATCACTCCGTGGAGAAAAGAGAAAGCCAACTGATCGTTAACAAAGGTCAGGCTAGAAACTTTAATTCAAAGAAAAATTGAAGTATGCATCCAAAACTTCTTTTTGATGATCTGAGCGTCGGCAAATTCACGCCAGAACGAAAAGAAGGACAAGACTGCTTCATCTTTCCAGAATCATCAAAACGTAATGCAAATTCATTCCAACCAGGAAATAACCATTTCAATGCAAAATTTGATGAAGAGGTAAAAACGTTACAAAATGTAAGAATTACTCAATATAGTCTAATTTTTGACAATTTTTTAAATAGTCTCAATTATATCTTATACAGGCTCAGACGGTCAGGCCAATGAGAAAAGATAAACCTTTATTCGACGAACTAGATTCATGAATTTCAGGTTGAAGTTTTCAAAAGGAACTTTCACGATTTCCCAATAAAAAGCCTAGAGCGAGTGAGAAGGACCTAAGAATCATTAGAAGGCACATTGATTTGAGGAATAGCTCTTCCCAAATCCTTGCAAATATCGATGCTATCAAAGAGATCATCGATGAGAGCGATTAACCTAATATCTAGCTTACTTTGTAATAATTTTTTTTGATTCATGAATTTATCCTTTTATATTTTTACCACAATTTGCTTTGATACATCTTAATTTTCGAGATATTTCAGGCTGTCATTTTAATACAGACATAACAAGGTCTAATCCAGTTACGTTCAACAGAAATTGTTGTACTTCTAAACCACCTTTAGTATGCTTTGGGCTTAAAATATTTGGTTAGAGGTAGCCGAAGTAATCCTGATGTGGATTTTTACCCTTAGATAAGTTAAGAGCTAATTGTTATCTCTCAATTTGTATTTACCCTATCTAGCTTAGTATTCATCATTTGCTGGTTGATCTATCTCATCTCCGAAGTTCCATGAATATTTTCACCGAAAACTGCCTTAAACTTTGAATAAATTAACTTTCGAAAATTTCCCTTAATTTTCAATATTGACAAATTTGTACGGGGTTTTGGGGTTTTGGGGTTTTGGGGTTTTGGGG